ATGGCCATTGTTCGTTCCCCTATTCTCACTTCCCCCCTTCGCTCGCCGCCACTGTATGTTTAGGTTATGACTGGCCATCGTCGGACGACGACCGGCTGCGGCGCCGCGCCTCGCGGCAGGGCAGCCGCGCCGCGGCCCCGAGGCGCCTGCGGGGTCGGGCGCGCCGCGGCGCGCCCCCGACGGGCACGGGCCGGCGCGCGGGGCCCGAAATCGAGCGAAAACGCCCGTTGCAAAAGAATTGCAACGCCAGGATCTCAGGGAAGGGGGGTTCGAACCCCCCCGCTCCCTCCAGGCTGGCGCTTCGGAGATGGCTCGTGGAGCTCCTCGGGAGGCCGGAGGCAGTCTGAGCCTCCTTGGGGCTGAAGAGGACGGGCAGGAGAGGCGCGCCGACGGAGGGGCAGCGCCGGGGGGCGGCCAGCTCAAGAGGGGGGGGAGCATCGAGCTGGGATTCATCGATGCGTGGCCGATGCGTCGGCGAGGGGCCCCGGAGAGCGGAGCCGCCCGCTCCTGGGCGGGGCGGGCTATCGGGCTCCTGTCGGCGATGAATGGGCGATCGGGAGTCGAGGCGTCCCCCCCGAGCCCCGAGCCTACCCCCCCCTTTTAACGTTGCCCCTGACCGACAGCGCACCTCGTGCGCGCAGAGCTGGGAGCAGGGGTCGGAGGTGCTTCCCCCCCCCCAGCGAAGAAGGCCGTTTGGAGAGGCAGGGCCAGCGCTTCGTCGGAGTACTGATGCCCGCAGCCACGAGCTACGAGGCGGAGTAAGAGGGGTCAGGATGAATGAGGAATAGGGCTATGAGGGCGAGAAGGCGGACGGCGTGGCCGAGTAGAGAAAGGGATGGAAGGGGGCACTGGAAAAGGGAGGGGAGGAAAGTCCAGGAAAAGGAGGCAACGGAGAGGGGGAGGAGGAGGGAGGACGAAACAGGGGAAAGGAGCGGCAGGATGAGCAGAGAGGGAAGAACGTGAGGGTGGGGAGAGGGATGAGAAGGGAGGATGGGGAAGGAGGATGAGGCAGACAGAGGAGGAAGACGAGAGAAGAGTGAGGTGGCTGAAGATGACGGAAGCAGGAAAAAGGCAGAGTTGGACGGATCGAGAGCAGAGGTAGAGACGGGCAGAGGAGGACGACCGACGCGGAGGCACGAGGACGAGGAGAGGAGGGAGGGAGGGCAGGAGAGCCCAGAATCGAATCGACAGGTCGGATCGGCGATCGACATGAATCGGATCGACGGATACCGGCAGCCGAGTCGGGAAACATCGTATAGGCAGACATCGGAAGGCTGGTAGGCCTCCAGTGAGAACTAGGACCCCAGATCGGAATCCCAAGTCGAGTTGAATCGAAACCGGAGGCCATCGAAATCGAAGCGCAGAAGGAATCGAAATGAGCCCTGGGAGGGAGGGAAGGAGAGAGGAATCCAGAGCCCCGACGCCATGCTCTGGCCATCGCTCGGATGTCCATTCCCTGTTTTTTTTGTCGGTCTCTTGAGTGGTTTTCGCCAGAAAGGATCAAGGATGCTCCTCGATGGTCCTCGCCGACGGAAAATTGCACACGTCCGAGCGATGCCAAGTGCTTTGTGTTGCAGCGTGGACCACCCCTTCTGCGGGGCCGGGTCGTCATCCCCGGGGTGCCTCTTTGTTGTGGGCGTCGGGCACCGCCGCTGCCGCCGTCGCCGTCGCCGTCGCCGTCGCCGTCGCAGTCGCTGTCGTCGTCGTCGTCATCGTCGTTGTCGTCGTCGTCGTGCTCCTCCCTCCACCTCCTCCTCCTGCTCCTCCTCCTCCTCCTCCCCAAGGCCAGCTCTTCATCCAGGGGGTGCCTTTCGATGCCTCCCCGGGGGCCCGGCGGGGTCCCCGAGGATGCCCAAAGCCACCTGGGATCCCCCGCCGCGATCTTTGTCAGGGCGCGCGTGCCTGGAACGCATGTTGACCAACCAAGAGTTTGTGGCCTTCTTGCAGTCGGACGAGACTTTCTACACCGATCTCGATGGAACACATGTTGACCAACCATGTAAGGATGAGCGCCCATGCCCCGATTGCAATGAAACTGTGGAAAGATCCGAAACATTGAAACATCGTCGACTGACAAAATAGATCGCAGCCTCAAAGGGAGAGGACTCTCGAGGTGGATACTGGATGGAAACATGTCGCTCGATCCCAATGTAAGAAAGAAGAGGCAAAATAATTCGCCGAATAATGTTGATGTAAATCTGAGGTTCTACGACCAGCACAGAAAGCAGTGGTCCAATGACGACAACAGGACTATCGGGACCCTATCGGCGATCAATCATCGATTGGGGGTCGTGATGCATCCCCCCGTCAACCTATCCCCCGGTGTTGCCCCTGAGGATTGGACAACAGGCGCGGTGCCCTGGCTTCGTGACGGCGGCGGCGGCGGGCCTGCGCCAGAGGCTTCAATATGCACCCTTCTGGCCCGAGCTCTTCTCCACACAGGACAGTTCTTAATACATAGGATGTTTAAACACATTGGAGTTTAATACATGATCAATTCATGCATAAATTTATGCTTGAGCTCATCGTTGCTTCTAACGCTAAAACCCTGCATCTTTAACACATGATCCGCACGCGGAGCATGTATACAAAAAAACGGCACTGCATCCTCCCCTGACGTCCGACGCCGAGATTTCTCCACGCCGCGGCTCCCAGGAACCGTGAGGGGCAACGATGAGGGGAAAACTAGCTCGGGGGGGAGGCCATCGACCCCGTCCAGGCGACACGTCGCCGACAGAGCTCGGCGGCGGGGCCCCGACGGCAAACCCGGTCGCTCCTTGGCGGGGGCGGGGCTGTCTCGGGCCCCTGTCGGCGAGGAAAGGGCCACTGGGGGTCGCTGCGTGCCCCCCCTGCGCCTGTGCCCCCCCCTCTCGCTGCGCCCGAAGCCTCAGCCTCTCCCCAAGGGCTGGCGGCGCTGCGTCCCGAGTCCTGTCTCTTGAGCAGGGACCGACCGTCCCGGCATTCCTATAGTCCTGCCACGAAATGTCCTTATAGAACCCAAAGAAGTTCCAAGAACAGAAACCATGTTCTTAGAACATGAACCCGATGTGTTAAAACAAGACAGTCCCAGCCCGAAATGTTCTAAGAACATTTAGTGGAAACCGCAAAAGGTTCTTAGAACACTGTTTGGTAGGGCTATAGGCGAGCCAGGACGCTTCGCCACTGCTTGAGTCTCGACGGCCCCACGGAGCCCGGCAAGAGTCCCGAAGGCAGAAGGTTGCCCAAGAACCTCCAAAGCCGTGACTTTTTCCACGACGCGAGAAGGTCGGGGCCTCGCGGCGGCCACTTGGTTAAAGGTTAGTGCCTCCTAACTATAATATTATTTTGCCTGTTGCTCGGAGATTCCTCGGGTTCCTCGGGTTCCCCGTCGCCAATGCCTCCTACTGTTACGTTGCCCGTTTCTCGAGGTTCCTCGGGTTCCCCGCAATCCTCGGGTTCCCCGTCCCCGGTGCATCCCTCCCATTGTTATAGATGCATATATATATATATATATATATATACAAACGTTGCCCGTTTCCTGGAGGTTCCTCGGGTTCTTCTGTTTCCTCTGGTTCCCCGCACCGGTACCTCCTGTTGTTACGTTGCCCGTTTCCAGGAGGTTCCTCGGGGTCCCTGGGTTTCTCGGTTTCCCCGAGTTCCCCGGGTTCCCCAGGTTCCTCGGGTTCCCCGGGTTTTCCGCCCCCGGTGCCTCGTGTTCTTATTGCGCCGTTCCACGCAATGCCGAGCAATGCTGACCAATGCCAGGCACTGCGCCCATGCAAGAGGAAACGTTCCCCTCATGTGAAGTCGGGCCGGTCCCTCTACAGGAGGAATGCTCAAAACTAGTCAAACAGTAGTCCGGGGACGATTCTGTGATTATTGCTTGACCATTTGGGGGCAGCTTTGGAGTACTGTTTATTCTTCGCCCACAGTCCCCCCGTAGGGGGAGAGGCCCGACCTATAACCCTAAGGGGGGTGGGTGCCTTTCCACGTCGCGAGAGCGGGTCGAGGCCCCGCGGCGGCCAAGCTGGGGGGGGGGGGGGGGGGGGGCGCCCGTCGCTCCAGCGCCGGGCTGGCGGGCGCTGCCCGGAGCAGGGCGAGTTGAGACAGCAGCAGCTCAGCATCGGCATCGCTCGGGCGTCCATTCCCTGTTTCCTTCGGTTTCGTGCGTGGCTTTTTCGCCAAATGCTCAAGGATGCTCCTAGATGGTCCTCGCCGAAGGAAACATGCACACGTCCGAGCGATGCCAAGTTCAGCATCGGCCTCGGGCGTCCTCCTTAGAGTCCCAGCGTGCGAAGTTCCCGAGCTGCGCCCGGCTGTGACGACGAGGGGCACCCCGGAGGCCCACTGCCCCTGAGGTCCGACGTTGCGGAACCATCGCCGCACCGCGGAACACCGCGACTGGGTCTGTAGACCTAGGTCGGGCATGTCCCCCTACAGGGGGATTTTGGACGGAAAATAAAACATACCAACAACATGCTCAACTAATAATCAAAAATGGTAAACAAGAATCGTCCCCATACTATTTTATGACTATTTTTGAATATCCCCCCTGTAGAGGGACAAGCCCGACTTAACTGTAGACGCGACTTTTTCGGCGGCATTTTCCGAGCCCGATCGATCCACGAGGGTCAGGGGGCCCTCTCAGGGATCCCCGACGTTGCATGTTTTCATAACTTTGACCCCCAGAGGTCTCGACCCATTCCCCAGGACCGATGTTTCGTCCCGAATCGTTTCTTGACGGCCCCGAGGCCCGGTAAGGGCCCCCAGAGGCCGAGAACGACACCCCACCTCCCGTGGTGATGTTTGTCACTGCTCGAGGGGGTCGGGTCAGTCAAGGACCCTTGCCTCAACTCGCTCGACGGCCAACGATCGGGGAGACGTAAGGCGATCGGGCTCGGGGGATCCGGGCTGGCCCTGACGAAACCATCGTGCAAACGACGAGACCCGGTGCAGGCCCGAGCTCCCGGCGCCCTCGCACCTCACGCCTCCCCGCAGCGGGCAGGGCCCGGGCGGCCCTCTCAGCCCTGTCTGGCCAGCTCATAGGCGACGTGGGGCACCGGGTGCCGCAGGGTCCCGGGCACGGGCCGGGCCCGCCGCACCTCCAGGCCCGCCTCCGCGAAGAGCCGCCGCCAGGCCTCGTCGGGCCGCACGGCGGCGAGCCACTCGGCCGGGTCCTGGCCGAAGGGGCGGAAGTGCTCCTCGGGGGGGCCCGGCCCGGCCCGGCCTCGGGTCCCGAGGCAGGCGCGGCGGGAGGGCTGCCGCCATCTGCGGCCTCGGGGGAGGGCCCCTAATACCGGGCCTCGGGGAAGGGGTCCGGACCTCTGGGGGGCGCGTCACGACAGAGTGACGACAGAGTCATGGCGTCGCGGACAATAACGCGCAACGTTTTTGTACCTGGCGTTCGCCCCCCCCCCCCGCCCCTCCCTCCCCGATCTTAACATTGGCTTGGGCCCGGGCCCGCAGAAACAACTCGGCGGCGCAACATGATGTCGGGGGCCCGTGGGGCGGACCCGTCGGCTCTTCGCCACGCGCCCTATACTAAGATCGGTCGAAACAGAAAGGAAGAACAATGCGATATAGGTGCGCGTGCGCGTGAAAAGCGGTGCGGCATTCTGTCGATGGACGTGCGGTACGGCGCGCGGTGGTTCGGGTACGATTTCTATGCGATGTTACGGCCATCCATTGCTACGCAATGCGTTGTGGAGCTAAGCGATCAGATTCGAAATGAACTGCGCCCCCACAGCCCCTGTGAACCGCGTGTCCTCTTCAAATCTGAAAGACGAGAAGCGAAGGCACCGTTGAAGGACCAGGTGCCAGGGGTGCATGTTCACACCCTTTGCGCGGACGCAAAAAGAAAAACATCGACGACGACGACAACGACAACGACGACGACGAACGCGACGACGACGAATACGGTGACAGCGACGGGAGGCCCGCAAGTGGTTCCTGAGGGGATCCTGAGAGGGGCCCGAGAAACAACTCCTGAGGGGCTCCTGGACGGAAGCAGAGAAGCTTAAGCGAAGCTCCCGCGAGGCTCCAGAGAGAGATAAGAGAGAGAGAGAGAGAGAAAGAGAAACACAAAGAGAGAGAGAGAGAAAGAGAGAGAGAGAGAGCGAGAGAGAGAGGAACAAACATATGGAGAGAGAGAGAGAGAGAGAAAGAGAGAGACAGAGACAGAGAGAGGTAGAGATGGATAGACGAGAGAGAGAGAGAGAGAGAGAGAGAGAAATATATATATATAGAGAGAGAGAGAGACAGAGAGAGAGAGAGAGAGAAGGAGAAGACCAAATAGGCGGTGAGGCTCCTGCAAGGCCATTGAAAAAGGGTTGTAAGAAGGTGCGGTAATGGTGCCCATGTGCCACTGATAGGCCCCTCTGAAGATCAGGAGGAAAGCCCTGCGAAGCCCCTGAACAGCTCCCGAGACCCCCACGGGAGGCCCCCGAAAGGCTCCTGCAAGGCTTCGAAGAAGCTCCCGTGGAACTCCTGTGAGCTGCCCTGGGGGCTCGCCGACAGGCTCCTGGACCCCCTGAGAGACCCCTTCGAAGTCCATGGTAGGCTCCTGAACTCCTGGGAAGCTCATGAACAAGGCCCCTGAAATGCGCCGCGCATGGCCGAATCCCACCTCCGACGTTTGCCTTCGGCGGCCGCGCGCCTCCCCCGAATCGCGCCCCTCGACGACCCGAGTGTCGTTCCGCATGATGGTCGCGGCCGCCCAAGTCGCCCTCATAAGCGGGAAGTTCCGCTTTTAAACAAGGCAGACTATGATTCACCGCCGATTCCGCGACGTTTCGCCGGCACCTCCGGGGGAAGTTGTCGGGCGCGCGCGCATAGCTCTTGGGCCGTGGGTCGAGCGGCCCGCGAGTCCAGGGCCCCCGAGTCAACGCCCCCCAGCTTCCTGGAATCCTCGGTCAGGGGCCCCCGGCTGTGTGGACCTTCGCCCAAGGGCGCGCGGCTGTCTGGGGCGCAGTGCCACGGCCCTGCCAGACGTTACCCCCGAAGGCAAAGGGCCGGCCTTGGGGCCCCGCAGCGAAGGCAGCGGGCGTCCTGGGCCACGCCAGGAAGAGCCTGCGACTCGTGGGTCCCGCAGGCAAGGGCCGAGGTACACAGGTCCGCGTTGTCTGGGGCCCTGGCGCCGCGGACCCAAGACTCCTGGACCTCCGAGTCGCGGTCCCATTGCTATTGGGCCAAGGGCCCCCCTGCAAGCTAATCCCGGTCACTTGCGCATCTCGAGTGGAAAGCTGACTCCGCGCGCGAATTATTGGTCGATGGCTTCCAGAATGGAAGGCTGAACGCCCGAATCGCCATCAACGCGGCCCCAACAGACGCCCCCGCGCGCGTCCCAGAGTCGCGCCAACATGGCTCTCGCTGCCATCCAAGCAGGGGCCAGCCCGCAATGCGACGAGCAACGCGCGCCGCCATGACATGGCAAACAAAATCACTAAATGACCCGGAACATACCGAACATGCACCTATGATTCGCTCGGGGCCCGGTTCAGCATAATGATATGTAACGCTATGACATGCTGCGCGGCGCTGTGAAAATCTATGCTGCTCGGTGGCGTGCAAGATGGCGCCACGGATCTCCTCTCGCACAACCGCGAAACCTCGTCCAAGGGTTTCAGGGCGGCGCCCCCGCCTGCGGCCGGGGGGGGGCTGAGGTGACTCTGCCGGGGAAGGGGGGGCGCGCGTGTGCGCTGTTTTTCTGGGCGGGGTGGGGCACGTAAGAATCAGCCAAAAGTCCACCCTGGGGGCCAGGGGGCCCGAGATGGCCGTCAAACGTTTCCCAGGCGGCTCAGGGTGCTCCCGAGATGGCCCAGGATGCCCTCCAACAAAAACACGAAGAGGCCCAAAACCATAGATTGTCTGTATGCTTTTGGAAGGTTTGGGCGCTCATGCTTGTCGGCCTTCTGACGGCCCCGCGGGCCCCCCGAGCGTTCCGACGCGGCGCGCCGAGGCGCCCGACGCGGCTTCCGACGGGCCAGGAACGCCCGAAGACAGCCAAACAAAAATCCCAGAAACCCCTGCGAAACTCAAAGGCCCCCTCAAGAGGCCTCCTCCTAAGAAGGCCCCACTTGGGCCCAGGGCGGCCCCGCGCGCCTCCAAGCGAACCCGACCGCCATCGGGGGCGCCCCGAATCGGCGGCGCTGGCCGGAGGCCGGAGGCCATCACAGTATGCGATAGTTTCTCCCCTCTACCGTTCGAAAAGCGACAGCGCGGTCCTCCAGAGAATGACTCTGCTTCACTTGTCATTCGTGGGTGTCTGGACTGACGCGAATGAGCCCCGAAGGGCTCCTTTCGGGTCACACCCCTCCCAGGGGCCCAGCTTGCAGCTACTAGGAACACCACTTGGTTGTTTTTGGCTTTACCGGTGAAGCCCTGGGCTGTTATGGCGCAGCCAGTTAAAATTCTTGGTTGCTTTGGGCGCAACCTGTAAAACCCTGGTGGCCTGACGGCGCCATCCTCGGTTTCCCGGGAAAGTGCCGGGCGAGCGATCCCACCCCGCTTGGAGGCTTGAGCTTCGCCGCGCGTGCCCCCCCTTCCACGGAACACGGGCCTCCCTGTCGGCCGGCTCTCTGAAAAGGGGCCATGCTGTGGCCCTCGAGGCTTGAGTCTGGGAGCCCGCGGCGACGCCCACGCAGATGAGCGCAGTTCCTTCCCTATGTATAATTTTCCCACTCCTCGTCGTCGTCATCATTATGTCCCTTGTTCACCGCCATCATTCCGGTTGCTCCTCATCGTGCTCTTCCTGATGTGCCTCTCTACCGTCTCTGTTGCTATCCCCATCGTCTTCCTCACAATCTTCATACTCGTTGTCTTCTTTGGATTTCCTCCTCCGCGCAGCTCCACACCAGCCGCCTCCGATTGCCTCCAATCCTTGAGCTCCGATCTTCCCGCTTGAACCGTCCTGGATCCTTGACGTTGCTACTTCATCGTTGCCCTCGCCTATTCTCACCCACATCAACAATCCGTCCTCATCGCCCTCCTCACCTTCCCCAGTGTCACCGGAGCCTGGTCGTTGGGTCCCGCCAGATTCTGGACAAAAGTGAGTCGTTCGGTCCCTCTGTCCGGCTCAAGTTCGACAGCACACGGAGGGGAACGAATAACTCGCCTTCAACCGAACACAGCATGGGTCGACGATCAACCTCCGTCCGAACTCTGAAAGGGCTCCGCAGCAGTAACGGTGATTCGTGGCATTGAAGTCCCAGGAACAATATTCTGGCACACTGCAAAATTTCCAAACGGTAATGTTCCAACGGGGCACCTCCGTCCGTGAAAATGAAGCCTTGTAGGTGCCTATGAAGAAGGAGCTTTCAGGGTTGGGTGAATTGAGATATCGTTGATGAATCTTGGATTTGCACTGGTACTCCTACTCCTCATCCCCCTCGACTTCTCCTTCCCTTCCTCCTCCTTATCTTCGCGGACCTCTTTGAAGACATCGTTCTCCTTGGAGCTCTTCCTCCGGAGCTCCTTCTCCTCTTTTTCCTAGTCATCCTCCTCCTCCCCAGAGCTCTTCCTCCTCCTCATACTCCTCCTCCTTCTCCTTCTTCTCCTCCTCTTCACCACCGACAGCCCACGAACACCGACAACAACACCGACGCCACCACCGATGACAATGACATCAACACCAGCTCCGACAGAAGCAACGACAGCGACATCGGGCCACGCGGCCAGACCGACAAGGACAACGTCGGCGACGACTTGCAACCCTGGGTTCGCTTCACCCGCAGAGTAACTACCGGGGATGGACAGCCTTCCCTTTAGTAGAACGTGGTTTAATGAAAACGACCTGAGGCCCAAACCTGGCGGGCGCAGGCCTGGAAAATAACGGCCACGGCGCCCTCTCGAGAACCAAAAACGGACAATTCACGAATCGGCGTGCCACTGTTGGGGGTTCTGTCCACCCCCGAAACTAGTACCACCGCCATGGCACTTGCGAAACGTGCACGGGTCGAAGATTGGATAGATATGTATTGCAAGCGCAAGTGGCAATTTGCTGCTCGCGTCGCCAACCACGACCACGACACGTGGATACGACTGAGCGTGATCTGGGACCCAAGCTTGCACGACTCACGCCCCGCTTTTCGCCGACACGGGGGGCAGAACAACTCTTGGGACGACGACATCGTTTCATTCTACATTCGCAAACAGACACAGACAACGATACGCAGTGGTGGGAACTCGCCCAGAATCGACAATG